ACACTGGCTATCATCAACAAAGCAACAAATGACAAGTGCTGGAGAGGATATGGAGAAAAAGGAACCCTTATGCACTGCTGGTGGGAATGCAGACTGGTGCAGTCACTATGGAAGACAGTAAGGAGTTTCCTCAAAAAATTAAAAATGGAACTCCCATTTGACCCTGTGATCCCACTTCTAGGAATATATCCCAAGAAACTAGAAACACCAATCAAAAAGGATATATGCATCCTTATGTTCATAGCAGCACAATTTACAAAAGCTAAGATTTCCATAGACTTTTGGATAGATTGTCAGGCCCTAAAGTGCAAGGCGGCAGATTAGATGGTAAAATGCCCTGCATTCAGGAGATAGTCATTTCTAGATCATATGAGCATTCATCTGTTAATGGTTTTAGTTTATGCTTTCATTCCCATGGCTGTTTGATATGTTATTTCCTTCTGAGAGAGATGTTAGGCCAATAATATTTGTGGGAAGAGGAAAAAAATCCCACAGATTTTAGAGTCTTAAACTCCAGTTTTAATCTCAGTTTTGCCAATAATCTGTTATAGGAGGTCAGATGTCTGTATGGAACCCCCATGCCTCTCTTCTGATGTCAGTAAAACAAGAAGAGTGACATCTATTGTGCACAGCGATTCACGGATTGGGTTGAATTATGCATTTAAAGCATCCAGCACAGTGCCTGCATCAACCAAATTGCTGAGTCTATGCTTGCTTCTTTACCTTCGTGCTAAAAAACCAAAATGCAATATCATGAGAATCAAGAAACTTGACAAAAAATGTAAATAATCTTTTGTGTAAATCAGTGTATATAAGCTAAGGGAAAAAAAATAGAATAAACCAAAACTAAATCTTCATTAAGTTTCCAATCTTTAAATTTTAAAGAGTGCATTTTGACCCTTTAGTATTAGCTCAAATTTGTATTACTGTCTTAACTATAGAGAAGATTGGGATAACAATATCAATTGCTAGGCATTTTAGGTGATTCATGCCATGAAAATATTTTGTCTGAATTTTAAAATTTTTAATCGACAAACATCTATTGAAAGCCCAATTTAAAGTAAATTTTATGAAAAAGCCTTAGGAAGGTGGGTACAATTTTTCTGTGAATCACAAAATGTATTCTTTTTGCCTAAAGATATTTTTAAACACTGTTTGTTCAAAATGGAAGGTCCGTCTGTCACACGTTTTATTTTATCTTTGGTCATTGACTCTGTTATGTTTTCTGATCTCTCATTAGATGCATAAAAGTGACGTCACAGTGGTGGTGTTTTTCATTATGCCTGCCAAGACAAACAATTTCAATGTGGAAACCCTGAAAGGCCAGGCAGTGCGAAAGCAGCTATGGTAATCTCCCGTCTTGTAAAGCTTCTCAAGCAAAAACTGCAAAGGGTTATTTTTATGTGCATGAGTCTGATATATATTCCTGAACTATTTTTTCCTTAAGATTATTATAGCATAAATACTACTTGGTTCTCTTCTCATTGGGCTATGATGCTAGATTAGGTAATGGCTATACAACGGGGTTACAATAAAAACTTTGGAATGGGCTACCATGGAAGGATAAAGCCTCTGTAGAACTCTTTAAAGATGGGTTGAATTTTTTAAAAATTATTGTGCAACTAAAAACATGGCAAAGTAAACAAATTAGTATAATGACCTCTTATGTGCCGATAGCCTATATTCAACAATTATCAACACATTCCCAATCTTGTTAGATCTATACCTGCATCCACTCCCCCTCCCAGCCCTCAGCCCTACCCTGAATATCATCAAGCAAAAAAAAAAAAGTTAAACAATCTGGGCTGGTCAGGGTTCTGCTGCCTCAGCTCTGGAGGTTTTAACTCAAGCCAAATTGGCAAATACGAAGATAATAGAGGAGTCTGTACAAAAGAGAACTGTAATTTTAACAATGCACTGACAACAGCGTTATCATGATGAATAAAGATGTAAAATTGTGACACCGTTTAAATTGTAGATTTTTTTCCCCAATCAGGGACATTGCACATTCTGTGAAGGAAAAGTTTGGAAAGAAACTCTATGATGCCTTATTAAGGTAGGTGTTTGGAACACGTACCACCTCAAACATTTGGATGTCACATTCCATCTTAACAGTTTCAGTGGTATAATACATTTATGTTGTTCTGAATATAAAGGAATTAATAACCTTTGAAGATGTGTGACATCATATCAGTAGGTTTTCTTTTATCCTTCATCTGACAAACACTTGTAAACAGGTTTTACAAATGAGAACATATTTATATATGCAAATGGGTTCTAATTCAATGAAAATCTTGTTAAGTGTTAGTATGCCAATCTGAAGCTAAGAGTTCATGAGATTTTAAGTCAAAGTATATATTGGCTTAATATATTAATTATGTTGACATATTAAATCAGGATTTATTTATTAACCAAACATATTAATGAATATTAATTAACATAATAATATTACTGAGTATGTGTTTATTTAATAAATAATAAATAAGATATGTAATTTACAGATATAATAAAGACTAAATAACAAAATGAAATTTAAATGTATTATAACCTAATAATAATAATAATAATAATAAAATACATGATTTTTTCTGTGATTTGAAGAGAAAACTATGTTGTCTCCTGACCCATGGTGGTAGGTGAACATCATTTCTCTTTACCAGTAAAAGTATCAACTTATAGATGGACAAGTTTTGGCCACTCTAGAATGTAGTACTCAGAAATGGGCAAAACAATGAGAGTGTCCCCTGATGGTGAACATGAATCCTCACTTGAGGATATGCTTATTGATTTTAGAGAGGAAGGGAGGAAGAGAGAGAGGCAGAGAGGGAGAGAGAGAGAGAATATTGAAGTGTGAAGCAAGAATTGGTTGCCTCCTGTATGAGCCCCAACACTCCAACTGTCTGAGCTACCTGGCTGGAGCAATGCTATCTTTACCAAACTTCTTCACACTTTAGGAATTTATCTGTGAGCTTCATCTGGAAACTATATTTACTTTTATTTTTAAAGTGCTTAGAACAGTATCTGACACAAAAGAGCACCGAATTAGTGCCAGTTGTTTTTATTTTTATTGTTAACATTGTTTTTCCCACAGAGGAGAAATTCCTGATATGAACAATATTTTGGATCGAGATGATCTAACAATAATGAAAAGAGCCATCTTTTCAACTCAGGTAGTAAAGAAAAAAGTGCCTACCACTTCCCAATGTTAAAATCAACGTGTTTTATATTTTAATTTATTGGAATGGGCTAATTTGGGAAATTTTTAAACTCAAGGACTAGAAAGTCATTCTTCTGTATTCACCAAAATGTCAACTTTGTATTCTCTTTTATGAGTGATTCATAAGAGAGATTGGACACAGGGCTTTTCTTGTGTCCAATTTAAAATTATATTTGATATTTACTTAGCCGGGAAGATGCCATGATCCCAAGGGTAGTTTCCCAAGGCAAGGCTCACCCATTGCATTCTGGGTGTCCTGACCCCTGTGATGTCCCCAAATGTAGAAAACTCAACTGCATAATTTGTGGTAGTGAGGGACTGTGTTTGCACTCTCCCCGGGCACTAATAATAATAACAATAATAATAATAATTTGGAACCATTGTGTCCAATTGAAAAGAAGTGTATGTGCAATGACAATAAAAACCTAATTTTTTCAAAAAGCATAAAATTTTGAGTTACAGTAGAGAAAACGTGAGTGTTTCTCAGACAAGTAGAACTATTGCAAAGAAGAAAAGGTAAGTGTTGTGTTAGGCGTACAGCAAACTCTTGTCATAATAGTGAGGGATCAGATACTGGAGGACAGCCCCACTAAAGGATTTAAAAGAGGAGCTCCTAATCAATAAAGAAAAATAAAATAAAATAAAAATAAAAGAGGAGCTCCTCTCAAGGCAAGATTTCAGGACATTCATATTTCAAGTAAGTCCCAGGAGCAGGCAAGATGTCTTGGCCTTTTGTATAGTGGCTGCAGGTGAAAAACAAAAGTAGCATGTGTTCACCATATACAAAGGCCGTGCTTGAACCCATTTTCGTCCACTGAAACACACAAAACTTAGTCATCCTCATTAGTGTCATCTCAAAAGACTGGAGGGAGGTTGTATGACATGTTGCCAATGACCTATTGTTGCAATTAGTCACACATTAGTTCTTTCCATAACTGACATTTTCTTCCATTACTTCAGCGACAGTCTTTGCCTCCAGTGACCACTCACAACATGATAGAAGACTCCACTGACCCCATCCTCAGCACCATTAGACGGATTGGACTTTTCAACAGCCGCACAGATAGAGTTAAGGTAGAACTAATTGTTTCTGTAGGTGACTTCAAGGTGACATAGCATATATTTACTGAGAATTTATTAGAAGCCTTCTTTATTTGTTTTCTAAAGGAGATTAATTTTGTTTCTACTCTTGGGTAATTAAAATATAATGACTATTTTATTCTTATTGAGAACTGAAGTATGTTTATGGCTTTATGATTCATAATTCTAGCATTTATTTTCACTGCGCAATCTGTTAGTAACCGTAAGGAGGCTATCTAATTTTTAATGATTTAAATATTTCCTAAGAATTAACAAATCTCTGAGATTACATGAATTATCTTTGTTTCTTTCTGATAATGTTCAACTTAAAGGGGAAAACTGAGAAGTTTCCAGTTTTTAAGAATGTGGCTAATGATGATTTTATGCGATTTCCTGTAGACCAATTTATATTTTTGACTCTTGAGTTTCTACAATGACTAGGCACAGTGCTCGCTGTATGACTAAGACCTGGTTTCTAACACAGTGGTGCCTAACCTCTCTGATGTTTACTGAGGGAGGGCCTATTTGTTCCAGGCATTTGCTAAGTGTGGTTGGCAATGGTGAACATGTCGACAAATAATTGCTTAACCCTACTCAATTTCATTCACCAGTATTCAAGATCAAGGTGTCACAAGCTTTTACCAATCTTTTCAAAGGTCTCCTTTTCCCTTCTTTCTTTCACCTTTAGCAGGTGACATAACTGAGAATTCAAAAGTGTAAACTCCTTCATTGTCCCTCTATATTGGCCTCAACTATAGGTGTTTTACCTCTTCTGGGTTCCTTTCCTTGAGGTCCTAAGGGTTTTTATAGGATTTCATTTTCTCCCACATTCGTGGGAAACTTAGCCTGTTTACCCTCTCTTACAGTGTAGGCAATAAAAGACAACTCTTTTCCTTGCTGTTGACAAATATTCTTTGAATTTCTTTACATTAAAGAACAACTTTGCCTTAACCCGGTCTCCTTTTGATGTTCTTAAATGTTTCTATCTTTCCTGCTCTGCAAATTTCTTTTTTAAAAAAAATATATTTTATTGATTTTTTACAGAGAGGAAGGGAGAGGGATAGAGAGTTAGAAACATCGATGAGAGAGAAACACCAATCAGCTGCCTCCTGCACACCTCCTACTGGGGATGTGCCTGCAACCAAGGTACATGCGCTTGACCAGAATCGAACCTGGGACCCTTCAGTTTGCAGGCCGATGCTCTATCCACTGAGTCAAACCAGTTAGGGCTCTGCAAAATTTCTTGAAAAAATAGTCTATTCTTATATTCACTTTTTATTTTTTATTAAGTCTTTGATGTAGACTTGGGCGGATATAGTGGAAGGAGACAAATTAAGGACTCACTGCAACAGTACAGGTGAGAGATGATGAGGGCCCCTTACAAAGGCCATGTCAATTGTATTGGAGAGGATGAAACAATGGGAGAGATGGTGGCACATAGAAAAGATCATACTTAGTGACCAATGCATATTAGAAGTGAGAAAGAGAAAGCAGGCAAGAATAATAGTCTCCTGGCTTCAGTATCTAACCAACAGTTTCTAAAAACCAAGGGAAAGATTTAGTAGAAATTGGTTTGAGAGTCATGTCATGAATTGAGTTCAGTTTTTGATAGAATGACTATGAGTGATATGTGAGATATTCAAGTTGAGATGTTACTTAGAAAACATAGGTCTGGGGGTTACAAGGGCAGTTGTTAAGGAAGCTACCACCAGTGCATGGGCAGTAGTGGAGACTAGGGAATAACCATCTTGCCATGTTGGAAGACAAAGTTGAATGAGTGGAGATTTAAGAGGAGGATTATAAGATAAAAAGTCAGGGAAAGAAAGAAACAGCAGAGAATTAGAAAAGGAAAACATTGCAGAAATCAAGCAGAAGAAATTCTCTAGCTGTTTATAAAATGTTCCATGCTGTGTTAGCCTTTTTATTTCAAATACTAGAGGCCCAGTGCATGAAATTCATGCACGGAGGGTGGGGGGAGGGCCTTCAGCCCGGCCTGCACAATCTCGCAATCTGGGACCCCCTCGGGGGATATCTGACTGCTGGTTTAGGCCCAATCCCAAATCTGCATTCTGACATCCCTCTTGCAATCCGGGACTCCTGGCTCCTAACCACTCGCCTGCCTGCCTGCCTGATCGCCCCTAACCACTCTGCCTGCCTGATCACTCCTAACCACTTGCCTGCCTGCCTGATTACCCATAACCACTCACCTGCCTGCCTGATGGTCCCTAACCACTTTGCCTGCCTGCCTGATGCCCCTAACTGCCTCTGCCTCAACCCTCTCTGTGGCAGCTTTGTCAGGAATGACGTCCAGAAGGTCATTCTGCTTTCTGGTCTAATTAGCATATTATGTTTCATTATTATAGATATTCTACACACACACACACACACACACATGCATGCGCGCACACACATGCACACATGCATATATGTGTGTGTATTGCCCTGTGCCATACAATTATGGGTGCTTTGTCTTTTCTCATTGTGTTTCTGCATTTCCAAACTTTTCCACACTTAGCATACCTTCTATAATAAATAGTCAGGCTACAAGTTTTCCCCTGGAAATGCAGGATTGTCTCTGCCAAGGATGCCCCTTCCTTTACGTGTTTCAGCTGGATTGGATCCACAGAGACTCATCACAGAGTATATTAATAGTAGCTTGGCCTCCTCATATAATTTACCCCCGATTGGTGCTTCTTATTTTATTTACTTGTATATATAATTTTTGTCTCTCAGAAAGAAAATAAATAGTGGGGGCAAGAAAGCCAATTATTTTCCTGTAGATTTCTGTTTTTCTTAGAACATTTTATGTCCTACCATATTTGTGAATCTTCTTCTGACAACCTGTCTGTGCCTGGAACATGTTATGTGCAATAAATACAGATAGACGTGAGGATGTGGGAGGGTGGAAAAGGAGAGATGAGGCTGGCTTCCTTTGCTCTTGGGGTGACTGTGACTTGAAGTCCCTTGCAGTTTTGAACAAAGTATACTTTGCTGATCTATGTTTTTGTTTTAAGTGTGATAGCAGTGAGGCAACTTGCCAGAACTGGGCAAGATACTAAACCCTTTCATACCCCTGTGTCATTGCTGACTAATGTTATTCTCTCTTTCTGAAATACCCTTATCTCAGTTATTCTAGCTATTGCTTTGGGATCCAATCTAAAAGTCATCTCTTCCTTGCACTTTTCCTTACTATACACTCATCTACTCCAGACAGAGCAGGTCTTTCCTTATCTGCATTCCTAAGACTACTGAAATGAATGGGATGATCACATTGAATTATATATATGAAATTTATTCCTTTCTCCAGAGAGACTGAGTTATTTGAGGCAGGGATCATGTCCCATATTTTTTTCTGTTTTATCCTCTGAGAAGCAGGCACTAAGACATGACTAGATATGAAAACGCTTGTTGGGAGAAATGTGTGAAGGACAAAGAGGTGAGAGCATGAGCAGGCGGGGAGGTGCAGTCAGACACTGCAAAGAAAGCAGGAAGGAAGGGGCGGTAAGAAGAGCCACGGACTGCAGCCCGTTTCTCAAACAGTCTCAACCTTTTTTCTTTCTTTCTTTCTTTTTTTTTCTTTCTTTTTTAACAGACAGGAAAGTCAAATGTAATTAGCAAAAAACTAGAATTCATAATGAGGAACAAACACATAGCAGCACCATGTAGTGGCTCAAAAAGGGGGGAGGCAGTGGACTAAGCAACTCAACATGGCTTGTCAGTTAGTGGAAAAAACACATACACATGGGTGCGCATGTGCCCACAAAAAGAAACAAAAAAGCAAGAAGAGTTTTCAAAGGCCAACCCAAATGCATCTTATTTTACAATGCTTCCTTTCTTAAGACAAAAGATGTCTTTGTGTGTGTGGTTTGCTGTTGACTTATTTTAAATATATTAGTGTTACTACATACAACATTTTGCTGTATTTAGGAGCCTTTTCTTGAGCTTTCACCTACCAAAACAGTTTCAAACAGATGGCTGCCTTATTCTATGAGCAGCTGGATGTGACCATTTTAATGGGGATTCATATGAATAGCAACAGGGATTCCCCAAACAAAGGTTACCCATTAAAATAATCACCCACTGGGTAGCTGTAGGTTGGCACTAGTACCCATATCTGCCTGTCTATAGGCCAGGAGCAGCTGCTATGGTGGATCTAGAGTGGATGCAGTTGGGGCTGTCAGTCAAGGTCCCCAGTCCAGGAGGTCTTAGAGGAAATCTAACAGCTAATTCAGGACAGCCACTTGTCTGAAGAAGGCAACATACCAAGTCCTTAAAGACGGTACTCACACTGTCAGGCTTCAAATCTCTGCCACTTATTCAGTTTATAAGTTACTTAATCTGCCTGTACCTCAATCTTCTCATCTTTAAAATGATAATATAAGCCCGCATTCATAGAATTGTTGTGGGTTTTAAAAAGTAATAGATGTTACATTTAGTACAATATTGGCACACAGTCAATTCATAATGAACATTAGCTTTTATTTGTACTTAGTCCAGTAGAAGATGGAAGATTTGTCTTTCCTGCAGGATTTGAAAAAATGTTTTATCAAAGAGATGACAAGTGAGCTAGATCTTGACCCATGAGCAGGAGTTTATCTGCAAATAACAGGAAGGAGGACTCACCCAGCAGAAGTAGATGAAAAGGCATAGAGATACAATAGCACATGGCTTACAAAGAGTGAATGGAGGAGGAAGTTCATCTCATACAAATTGTTTATGCAGTTATACTCATCAATATTTTGAGATACTCATTTATTATCATAAAGCAAACACACACATACAAAAGAAATAAAAGAATAACCCTTCTTAACAATATATCCTCAAAGCACTGAAATAAACTTTGGTCAGTTCAGAATTAGGTATTGTGTTTTATTAATAACTAGAGGCCCAGTGCATGAAATTCATGCACTGGAAGGGAGGTTCCCTCAGCCTGGCCTGTGCCCTCTTGCAGTCTGGAACCCCTCAGGGAATGTCCAACTGCCCACTTAGGCCCG